CTCATCCATGGCAGACAGCCATAATGAATTTAATTACCCCCTTCCTCTGTTCCCAGACACAGCCTCAGAATCTTTCTCAACACCATGTCGGGAAGCCCCTGACTAATAAAGCAGAGTTCGTGTAAGAGGTTTAACGGAATGTGCTAGAGCCAGCTCACAGCTGCACAGAAAAGTAGACGGCACATGTCTCTTCCCAAATCTACTCAGTGATGTGACACAGACTGCTTGGAATCCACCATGGAAGGAGTGTGTACACCTGGGAAAATGACAAACACTACACAACAGGGCTTTTGTTTCAAAGAGCTGATTTAACAACCCACGACCAACTCCATGCCTCTTCTGATCTAAACCTCACTTTTTACAACGACCCAGAAGACAAGTAGTAAAATCAGCCTCCATTTTATAAATTAGGAAAATGAGGCTCAAACAAGTGAGGAAGGTTGGCCAAGTCAGACAACCAGCCAGGACAGAGCTGTAATACTATAACCTCCATCATGCATTGGCTGCACAGAGCAAGAGAGGGCGGAAATGGGAAACGAGAACGAGTAAAGCCCTCTGTAAATACGAGAGATTATTATTCCTACTGCTGCCATCATTGCTGGGCAGACAGAACTAATGAACCTGGACTTCCGGAGTTCTGCCAGCTCCAGGGCCAGTCATTTCAGAGCTGCCCAGGGTGGAGTTCCCAAGCCTGATCTCCTTCCTTATCATTAGCCAAGACCCCTTATTAGCCTAAATTCTTAAAGGCCCCAAACACTATCTACAATCTCAATCTGCCCAGGAAAACCATAACAGAATTTCCTCAGTGGCAGCAGAATCTGTTTACGTGGAGCTCAGAAGTTTGTTTGGGGTTGGGTTGTTTTGTTTGTTTGTTTGCTTGCTTGCTGAGTTTAGCAACCAATCCTATAAAATGTGGCTACTACATATCTATATCACATTCTTTCTTTCCACAAACACTTATGAACGCCTCCTAATAAATCCAGAAATACCCTGTGAGACCCAGTTCCAAGCAAGTGTGATAGGATGGTGATAGGGGAGAGGTCAAAGAAAGTCAAATAATAGTAGTAATAGTTAACATTCATTGGACACCTATTATGTGCCAAGTACTATTTCACACACTCTCATTATCTCATTTAATCTTCAATGCTGTGAGGTAAATATTATCATCATCCCATTTTTTAAAAGGAAACTGATGCACAGAGAAGCGAAGCAACCTGCTCAAGAACACACAGCAAGCAAGAGGCAGAGGAGGATGCAAACGTAGATAGGCAACTGGATTCAGGGTTTATACTCTTAACTGCTTAACAGAGGAGAGTCTGACTGAACTGGGTTTTGAGGGCTGAGAAGGAGTGATTGAGAAAGGGAACATGGAGGACTTTCAAGCCCAAAGGCAAAAATGTTCACGTCTGTTTTGAAGGCACTCCTGGTAGTTTGAATGAAGGAGAAAATGTGTGTAAAATGCTTAGCTGGCCCACAGTAAACATGCTACTCACCGTTCTTGCTTGGTGTGGATGGACCAGAGAATATTTCTGAGGCAAGGCAGGAGGGGAAGCAGAGGGCTGAGTGTGGAAGATGCCCAGGCTATATGGTGGATTTGGAAACCAACCCTAGGACAGAAGCTTTCATATAACTCTGAGTCACAAAGGGTGGAAGAGCAAGTTAGCAGAGCTCAAAGCAGCCCACCCCAGAGTGTAATTTTTGTAAATATCAGGTTTTCATGAAAAAGTCAGGCAAATACTGCTGTTTCCTCCATAAGATATTTGCATTTGTTGTAATATAAATATGATTATATAAAATTTCTACCACTGGCTGGGCACAGTGGCTCACACCTGTAATCCCATTACTTTGGGAGGTCGAGGCAGGTGGATCACTTGAGGCCAGGAGTTTGAGACCAGCCTGGCCAACATGTTGAAACTCCCTCTCTACTTTAAATACAAAAAAATTATCCAGGCAAGGTGGCTCACGCCTGTAAACCCAACTATTCGGGGGGCTGAGGCACAAGAATCGCTTGAACCTGGGAGGCAGAGGTTTCAGTGAGCCAAGATCGCGCCACTGCACTCCAGCCTAGGTGACACAGTGAGACCCTATCTCAGAAAAAATAATAATAATTAAAAAGTAAATTTTCTACCATCGAGGAAAACTGACAACACAAAAAGATACATCTCCTTTTCCCCCTGTCCAGGGACTCCAAACTCAGCATTATTGACATTGGAGTAATGCTTTTTTGTGGTGGGCTGTCCTGTGCATTGTAAAATGTTTAGCAGCATCCCAGCCAGCAGCAAGCACCACTCTCATCCTATCTGCGACAACTAAAACTGTTTCCAAACACTGCCCAGTGTCCCCTGGGGGGCAACATCACCTCAGGCTGAGAACCTCTCATCTAGTCTCGGACTGCGGTATCCTGCTATGTGACCCCAAATGAGAAGCACGCTTGTCTGAAAGATTTTGATACAGACAGAAGGTAAAAACTACTTACGGCGACTGTGCTATAATATTGATACTATGGTCTTTCTCATTCTCTCAGTGAGTAAACAGAAGCTCAGACAAGGGAAGTGAGTCTCCCCCAAGTCACACAGCCATAAGAGGGTTTGTACCCCATGTCTTTCTGACTCCAAAACCTAACTCCATCCACTGTACCACACGACTACACTCAACTCCATCGAGGGCAACCAAAGGCCTCAATTTGCTTGGTCCAGCTGAGCAAGGAAGAGAAGACGCCTGCTTCCCATCCCTGCCCATCATCCACCTTGTCGCAGGGCAGGACACTCTCACACCTTAACTGCTATCTCTTCTGGACGACTGCGCTTGGTGGCTGAGGCCATGTAGTGACCTCTCCTGTACCATGATGACTTCCAGGATACAAGGGAACACCTAAATTGCAGGGTTGAGTTTCAGAGACCAACCAACAGCAAGGTCATAGCAAAGCAGGAGGATCACCCCATTTTAAAACAAAACACACCACTGCTAGAACAGAAAAATACACAGCGTATTTTGCCTCCTCTTTTCCATAGTAAGATTTAAATTTTCCATAGTGGCACCCAGGAAACTATTGCTCTATAGGAATATCTCTTAAAGGACACCATCCCCACCCCATTTTATAGGGCATGAGACTTAAGATCCATAAACGGTATGCTTTCCATTTCACCAGCCTCATTTTTGGGCTCTTCTTGGTGACCCTCACAGACCTTAACCATATCCTCTTACCACTGCTGGAAAAGAAAGAAGCCATTACCCAGAGTTCCACGTAAGTCCCAGGACACGCTCTGATTGGACCAACTGGTGCCACATGCTCCCCCTGAACCAACCACTGCAGTCAGGGAATGGACCATGCCGATTGGACAGGCCTGAGTCACATGTCTACTCCCGGAGCTGGGAACGGCTCAACCAAAACCAAAGCACATGACGTGAGAATAGAGGAAAGATGGCTCCCCAAGGAAACGTGGAATACTGTTATAGAAAGCAAAGGGAATGGATGCCGAGTGTCAGTCTGCAAAAATCCTCATTCTAGCAGACATTTATCCACTACCCAACAGGCAAGAGGTATTGCTCAAAGCAATATGCGAACTCTGTGACCTCCACTGCACCCTAGGGAGATCCGTCTGTTTTATTCCCCATCTGACAGTCAACAAAGACCACCAGAGCCACACCTGCCATGGAGCAAGTTAGGATTCTGGACTCATTGCCATGAGGGAGAGCACACGCCGTGGGGTGTCATGGGGCATCTCAGGAAAGGGGTGTTGGAAAGGCTTCTTTGGGCTCGTGTTAGGTGATTTTAGGAAGAGTTTAAGGAAGCAGGGCTTTGTTCTGGATGAGATACTGTCATGAAGTGAGAGTAATTCTATTTTGATAAATCTCCTTTAGAGGGTGAGGAACGAGGCACGGCCAAAGCTGTAATTGGTAAAGAAACAGAGATTACTCCCGTTAGCCAAGATCAGGGATCGTTTGGTCATTTTTGTGGTTTAGACAATGCTGATGTTTGGCTTGTGCGTGGACATGATTACAAAGTGATCTTGTTTTCATCTTGACCTGTCATTGTTACAGAGGGGCCTTTTCTGATGCTGGCGTTCTGCGAAATTGTTTATGCTCAACACAACACCAGGGTCTACCTGTGAGTGCTGAGCCAGCTCCTAGCAACTCCAAGCCCTTGTCGATAGTACCAGGCCAGCTCCTGGATGTCAGGGGCTGCTTTTCTCTTTCTTAGAACTGAGACAAGAAGGGTCTAACAACTACCTAAAGTCACAAAGCAAGTGGTGGAGCTAGAATACAAGCCTCAGCAGGCCCATTCTAGAGTGTGATTTAAACCACTACATCACCCTGTCTCTCTTCCTTCACATTGCAGGACCCCAAATGCTACGAAGGAAGGGGAAAACATACATTTCCTGGACATCTACTCTTGTCAGGCACCAAAATAGGTCCTTTGACTCCTTAAAGTCATCCACCCTTGTATTCGTTTCCTAAAGATGCCATAACAAAGTACCAACTGGGTGTCTTAAAACAACAGGAATTTACTCTCACCGTTCTGGAGGCGAGAAGCCCTAAATCAGGTGACAGCAGAGCCATACTCCCTCTGAAGCCTCCAGGAGAGGTGTCTTCTTTTTATTTCATTTTATTTTATTTTATTTTATTTTATTTTATTTTATTTTATTCCATTTGATTAAGTTCCGGGGTACATGTGCAGGATGTGCAGGTTTGTGACATAAGTAAACGTGTGTCATGTGCTCTGTTGCACCTATCAACCCATCACCTATGTATTAAGCTCGGTATGCATTAGCTATTTTTTTCTGATGCTCTTCCCTGCCTCCCCACCCCCTGCCCGACAGGCCCCAGCGTGTGTTGTTCCCCTCCCTGTGTCCGTGTGTTCTCATTGTTCAGCTCCCACTTATAAGTGAGAGCATGCAGTGTTTGGTTTTCTGTTCCTGCATTAGTTTGCTGAGGATAATGGCTTTCAGCCTCATCCATGTCCCTGAAAAGGACATGATCTCATTCTTTTATGGCTGCATAGTATTGCATGGTGTATATGTACCACATTTTCTTTATCCGGTCTATCATTCATGGGTATTTGGGTTGATTCCGTGTCAGGAGAGAAGTCTTCTTATCTCTTCCAGCTTCTGGTAGCCTCAGGTATCATCTGGCTTGTGGAAGCATCACTCCAATCTCTTCCTCCGTTCTATATGGCTGCCTCCCTCCATGTGTCTGTCTCTCTTCTCCTCCTGTAAGGGCACCAGTCATACTGGAGTAAGCACCCACCCTACTCCAGTATAATTTCATCTTAATTACATCTGCAAAACTCCTGTTTCCAAACAAAGTCACATTCACAGGCCCCAAGGTTTAAAACTTAAATATGTCTTCTTACAGGAAAAAAAAAAAAAGTTCAACCTGTAACAACCCTTAAATAGTGCTCTCCATTTTAACAGAATTAGGCATTAAGTCTCAGAGAGGTTTAGTAACTCATGCAAAGTCACACAGCTAGAACATAGCAGAGTCAAGCCCCAAGGCCTTGACTCCTTGCCCAGTGCTTCAAAATCTCAGAAAACCACACCCCTGGCAGTCAAATGGGGCAGGGACAGAAGGCTCAGATGCACCACCTTCCAACCGCCAAAAAGACTGTTTTGTTTTCATTTGTTTCTTGGAGTTTTCCTGCAGGAGAACAGTGCTGTCCCGGAAGGAAATGAGCCGGCACAGACACGCCCCAGTGCAGGAGACTCATCAGCGCAGCCACTGAGCTGTCCTGGAAGGAAGCCGGCTCGGCAACCTGACATTGACAAACCGCTCGCCAGTGTTTCCAAAGATTCCCAGGGCTCGTGTTTTCCACTTACACGATTCAATTAGGAATCCCAAAACATGTAAATCTTGGCATTCTTATGGCTCCATTAAAGAAACAAAGTATTAAATGCAGACACATCTCCTTAAATGTTGGTGAGTTTGCTTCCATTGGCTCTAAAGATAACTGCTGTTCTTTTCTAATGATTACTCTGAGGATGACAGATGCTGTGGTCCCAGATGTCTCCAGAAAGGGCCATTGTGTTGGGTGTGGGGGAGTCACAGGGATTCCAAGGAGAGGACAGGGAGAACCAGCATAATTATGATTATGATTATTATTATTATTATGACTTTCTTTTCTTTTGCTCCCTTTTGTTCATATTCCTCCTTAGCTCATCACCTCCCTTCTCCCACCCTGTTCACAGCTACTGAGGGCAAATCATGCAAAACCCCGCCTTCCTCTTGTGGCTCTCCTGCCCACAGAGATGGATCCCAAAGGCCTGTCCCATCAAGAGCTTATTCTTCACGACATAGATGTTGTGTGATCAGGAACAAACCAGTTAGCCTCTTGGAGCTTCCATTTCCCTGTCTTCAGGTCACTTACCTTATGGTGCTAAATGAGATCATTCATGTAAAGAGCTCCACGTGGAACCCGGCACACAACCAGCCTTCGCTTCAACTGACCAAATGCCGAAGCACGGGACCACTCTTGCCAAGAAGCCAACACACACCATGTAATCAATCTCCACACTTCGCAAGGTCCTCTCAGCCGGCCCACCATCCAAGTCCATTTAATCTCCTGCCTATAAACAGATGACCCTCCAAGGCAGATGAGATTGAGCAAGATGCATTGTCCCTGCTAGACCCAGCGACCTTTCTAAAGGGATGGACAGGGTGGCTATGGAATATTTCATCACTGCAGAAAGTCTACTGGACAGCACAGGATTACTGTGAGGAATAGTAAATGAACTGATGAATATAATGTGCCTAGCACCACGCCTGAAGGATAGAAAGTGCTCAATACAATGAGGCTGTTATGCCACTTAATCCTCTGCAAGGTGGGGGCTTTGCTCCCGTTTCACAGATGAGAAACCCGAGGTTCAGAAGAATGGAAATAACATATTCAAACGCTGATACCAGTAACTAGGAAAGTCAGAATTTAAGCCCTGATCTGTATGACTCCAAAAATGGGTGCGTTTTTCATGAGATAAGCAATCTTCATGCAATGGGAAGAGAGACTGGCAATAGCGGAAGTAGTGATGCAAAATGAAATAAAAATAAAAATAGGCTGGGCGCGGTGGCTCACGCCTGTAATCCCAACGCTTTGGGAGGCCGAGGCGGGCAGATCATGAGGTCAAGAGATTGACACCATCCTGGCCAACATGGTGAAACCCCGACCCTACTAAAAATATAAAAATTAACTGGGCATGGTGGTGCACACCTGTAGTCCCAGCTACTCGGGAGGCTGAGGCAGGAGAATTGCTGGAACCCAGGAGGTGGAGGTTGCAGTGAGCCAAGATCACACCACTGCGCTCCAGCCTGACGACAGAGCGAGACTCTGTCTCAAAAATAAATAAATAAATAAATAAAATAAAAAACGGAAATGAAAAAGCTACAATGGTATCACCAAAAGCAAAGAGAGTTCAGTCCATATGCAGTCTCAGGGAAAACAAACTCAAACCCACCGCTCCTCCCCTGAAGACATCTGGCCTCACTTACAGGACAGTGAGGAGGTTTCAATCCTGCTTTAAACCTCAGTTTCCTCTTCTGTAAAGTGGGTTGATTTGAGGAGAAAGTGAGACAATGTATTTTCAAGCACAGAGTACGTACTCAAAACATTGGTTTTTAAAAATATCTGAATAATGACCACCCTAAGTACAACCTTTGGGTCTGGGCCTATCCAAGAGTGCTCACCTATCTTTTTGGCTTTCTGTAAGAATCAGAAGTTTGTTGAATCCACACTCTCCAGGAAGCAGAAAAGCTCACTGCCTCTTGCAGAGGACGTAATAGCTGAAGTGTGGCGTTTTAAGTTGTTAATCTTTGCAAAACAGGGTTCCAGAGCTTTGCAAAGATGCGGAACCATCGGAGCTCTATACAGAAACAATCAATTCTTTGATTAAAATCTGACAGCTCAATTAATTAGTACTTAATAGCTCAACCTTAATTATACCCTACATCGTTATTTGATAATATTCATAAATTTCCCATGTGGCTGTGCACACATGTCTTTTATCAACTGATTACAAACGCCCGAACTTGACCTCCATCCTCGGGAAAATGTCTCGGATGTCAAGAACATGAAAGACTTCATTAACACTAATGGCGACCTCACCAAGGCCTATTCCTAGGTAAGAATTCTCTGATTTAAAAGTTCTTTGAGGTCCACCAGAGAAAAGTGATAATTTGTGCACTAAGTTTGCTGTATAGTTTATTTCATTCAAAGCTCAATATTTTTGGAAATTTTATAAAGTATTAAATAATATCCCTGGATCTTACTTTCACCTGAAAAAGACACTCACAGACTCTATTTTTTTTTAACCCAGAGAGTGGGTTTCTAAACTAGGTGAGAATCACTGAAATTCTTTGGATGTGATGGGAGAGTTACGGGGACCCCATATGATGATGATTAATACGGCTTTGAAGCCCAAAAGCCCTGGCTTGAGGCCAGGCATGTTGACTCACACCAGTAATCCCAGCACTTTGGGAAGCCAAGGTAGGTGGATCACTTGAGGTCAGGAGTTCGAGACCAGCCTGGCCAAGATGGCGAAACCCCATCTCTACTAAAAATACAAAAATTAGCCGGGTGTGATGGTGCATGCCTGTAGTCGCAGCTACTCGGGAGGCTGAGGCAGGAGACTCACTTGAACCTGGGAGGCAGAGGTTACAGTGAGACCCATTTGAACCTGGGAGGCAGAGGTTACAGTGAGACTCACTTGAACCTGGGAGGCAGAGGTTACAGTGAGCAGAGATCACGCCACTACACTCCAGCCTGGGAGACAAAGCAAGACTTTGTTTAAAAAAAAAAAAAAAAAAAAAAAAAAAAAAAACCTACCTAAACTTGAATCTCTGTATTTCTGAGCTTTTTGATCTTGATTGAGTTTCTTCACCTCTCTGAGCCTGTTTCTTCATTTGGAAAGTTGAAATAATAATTCCTAGCCCTCAGAATGTTGATGTGACATTCAAATGGACGGGAAAGTGCCTGGCATGTACTAGATGCTCAATAAATGTTACACATTAACCCATTAGCTATGGCAGAGTGTAGGCCATTCTGCTTTGTCCAATTGCCCATGGAGACCACTCACCTGGAGGAGAGGGGATCAGACGTCTGCATGTGGGAGCTCTGGAGAATGAGGTGACGGGAGAGCTATCAGAGAGGATAAGATTATATTCTGCCACATAAACCAGTTCTTCTATGGATGTGTCTTTTGGGCTTGGTGGGGGCAGGGAAGGGGATAGCAAGGGAGGGCACAAAACCTTCCCAGAAGTCTCCAGAACTACCTTAGGAGCTGCAGCCCTGCCTAGAGGGAAGGGCCCCCCACTTGAGTTGTGGTGCCCAGCCTCTAGGCATGGTTCTGTGTTGGATGGCATTAAGCAAGTCCCTCAACTCCTGGAAAATTAATCTTCTTCTTTGTTAAAGACATTTAGTTCGATTTTTCCAAACACCTGCTGCAACTACAGAATCACCTGGGACATTTATTTAAGTAGAGATATAATATACAGCGACAATCCCCCGCCACACACATCCCAAATAATGACTATTTCCATATAGCAATTTTTTTTAGATACTCATTTCCAGGCCTCGATTGATTCAGTGGGTCTAAAGTGATTTCCAAGAATTATTCTTTAAATTTCCCAAGGAATTCTGATGGGCAACCAGGTTGGGGAGCTAACAAGATTGCTGGTTTCCAGCTTCCGCATCCACCGGGAAAACTTGGACTTGTTGCCGCCTTGGCACACCAGTGACACCTGATGGCTTGGAGGAGTAACTCTAGCTTGTCCCAGCACATGATTTCAAATCCTCCATTGCATAGTCCAGTTGTAGGACGAGATGAGGTTTTCCACTCTTCCCAAAATCTAGATAACGTGATTCTCTGTCTCAACATCCATAATAGACACAGTATCTCAGCTCCAGAGTCCATCTTTCAAACTACCCATTTGACAGATGTCCGTCTTGGACCACCATATTTTTTTGGCCTCCAAGTTCTGATGGCACCTGCAACTAGAAACCTCACAAGACATCGCCATTTCAGGAGTCACACACACATGGGGTGACCACTCAGATACCTGAACTGGATTGTGTCCTAAGAGAACAGACACATGACCTTTCCCTCCTTTCCCTCGACTCATAGAATTTACAAAGTGGGATAAGACAAGCTGAGATGCTGAAAAAGGCATAAATTGATGTAGTTGCAATCTCCCATTCCCTAGAATCTGTGACCAGACAACTCTTTACATTCTTGTTGGTCACCCCAAGATTAATCAATCATACTAATAATTGAAATTACAGAAAATCTATCCAACACAATGGCCATTTCCAGAAATTAGATTGTCCCTCATTAGTGGGGGATTTTCTTTCTTCTCTATATTATTTCCCACTAATATTAAAAAACATTTTTACTGGATTTTTTCCATCATTTTCCCAGCATGGACCTAATAGCAACCAAGAAGTACTTTAAAAATCCCATTATCTTTATCGAATGGAAATTCTCACAATATCACAATTGTCAGAGGTCTTTTTTATTCTGGTGTTAACCTTGGAGAGCTTTCAGATGTTCTTTGGGGCATGCACGGAGGACTGAGGAAATCTTTCATTTCTACATCCTTGGCGAGTTCGGCACACTTGGCTAAGGATGAAACTGTTCACTCCTAATTTGTTTCTCTGGGTGAATATTGATTTGACTTCTGTTGTATATCACCAATGCACACCAATCTCTAGAATCATGGGGCACTGAGGGTTTCTGTTTAATATTCAACTTGGAGCCACTCAAGCACTCACACAATTTTTTTTTTTTTTTTTTTTTTTTTTTTTTTAGTTGCTCCACCTGTTGTTCTCCCAGATGGATAAGGTAAGAATGTCGTGTATAAAACAAAGTAATTGCTGTGGCTGTTAAACAATTCAGGACCACTTCTCCTGGGCTCTGCTGGGTATTTACAAAGTCCCACAGATGCCAAGCTTGAAGAAGCTTAAAAGGGGAGCTGCTCATTTGGAACTGAGTACATCCAGTGATCTCTCTGGTTATGTAGCAAACCTGTCTAGGTCTGCGTGTCCGATATATTTGCGCTTTTGTACTGGTTAAGTCCACACTTGGGGACATCTGGCATTCCCCCTATTTATGAGACAGACATCTATGCTGCGTGTTGGAGAGGAAATATATAGTTCTGAGCAGTATTTCTGGTGCCTGGACATTTGAAGTTCCTTGATCTAAATGGAAGTCTTTAAGCGAGAGAATCATCAGGGGAGTTCTATTTTTAAAATCCCAAAGTGTTTAAAAATAAAATAAGATTTTTAAGGACAAATCAGTTTGTTTTGGGGGTGGAGGGAATCATCTGGATATTTGCTTTTCCCTTTTTTTTTTTTTTTTTTTTTTTTCCCAGAGACAGAGTCTGGTTCTGTCACCCAGACTGCAGTGCACAATCATAGCTCACTTGCAGCTTCAAACTTCCAGGCTCAAGTGATTCTCCTGACTCAGCCTCCTGAGTAGCTGGGACTACAGGCACATGCCACCATACCCAGTTAATTTTTTTTTAATTATTTTTTGTAGACCAGGAGCAGTGGCTCATATCTGTCATCTCCGCACTTTGGGAGGCTGAGGCGGGTGGATCATTCAAGGTCAGGAGTTCGAGACCAGCCTGGCCAACATGGTTATACCTGTCTCTACTAAAAATACAAAGATTAGCTGGGTATGGTGGCGCATGCATGTAATCCCAGTACTCAGGAGGCGGAGGCAGGAGAATCGCTTGAACCCAGGAGACGAAGGATGCCGTGAGTCAAGATCACACCACTGCACTCCAGCCTGGGCAACAGAGTGAGACTCTGTCTCAAAAAAAGTTATTTATTTATTTATTTATTTATTTATTTATTTATTGTAGAGACAAGGTCTCACCATGTTGCCCAGGCTGGTCTCAAACTCCTGGCCTCAAGTGATCCTTCCACCTCAGCCTCCCAAATATCTTGGTTACAGGTGTGAGCCATCATGCCCAACCCTCTCCTCCTTCCTGCTAATCCTCCCTCATTTATGATGATGGTTGGGTGGTTAGGTGTTGGGAGGGATTTAAGAAAGATGTCTCAATAAGCAGAAGGCATTCCCTATCCCCCTGGTGCTACTGGGCAGCATTGTGAGGACAGTCTAAGTTTACTAAGATTCTGCAAACCAGATGGAATTCTTACCTTGTTACATCACCCAAGGGTCCCAAGGAGGCTTCAGCTATTGAGGCGGATGCAGAGAATCCCAGCGCCAGTAGCAGCCTTCAGCACTGTGTGCATTTGTAAAGTGGAACAAACCAGATGTTGACGGTACACAAGACTGCACAGGCAAGAAGCAGGCAATAAGACAGGTGTCAGGAATCGGAGAGGAGGCAGGAGATGCAGAGGATCTGGGAACTCTCCTTTTCTGATCAGGGGAAGCAGGAGGAGGCTTCAGTGCTGAGCCAGACCTCCCTGATGAGACTGTTTATCCAGGCTCTTCACACAAGAAGGCTCAAGTTGGGGCAGAGTGATCAATCACCCTACCTTGCCAGAGATAGAGTGATATCCCGAGATACAGGGCATTCTGTTTTAAAATCAGGAAAGCTCCCATAAAACTAGAATGAGTTGGGAGGCCAAGGCAGGTGGATCACCTGGGGTCAGGAGTTCAAGACCAGCCTGACCAATGTGGTGAAACCCCGCCTCTACTAAAAATACAGAAAATTAGCTGGACATGGTGGTGGGTGCCTGTAATTGTAATCCCAGCTACTCGGGAGGCTGAGGCAGAAGAATTGCTTGAACCTGGGAGGCAGAGGTTGCAGTGAGCTAAGATCATGCCATTGCACTCCAGCCTGGGCAACAAGAGCAAAACTCCATCTCAAACAAACAAACAAACTAGGGTGCATTGTTCACCCTAGCTTGGAGAGACCGTTTGATGTAGTTTCTAAAGCATGAACATTAAAGTAAGACAGGCCTGGGTTTGAATCCCAGCTGTGCTTGCTAAATAACCTTGGGCAGGCAGTATCACCTCCCCTCTTCTGTAAGATGGAAATGGTCATGTTTGCCCACCTCACGGGTTTGTAAGATAGTCATGTAGTAAAGTAACATTTAATAATGCAAGCAAGTGTGTAGCATAGTGTCTGGCATAGAGGAGGCCGTCGGTATGTTTTATTCTCATCATTCTGAAGAAACGAGTTACCAGTATGCATTCTGAACGCCTCCCAAGCAGGAAAGGAAAGAACAAGCCTGGATGTGGGTATCCAGGAAAACGAGAGACGGTGAAACCAAAGACCATGAATTAATGACTAGGGCAGATGAGAAGGTCAGAGAGACCAATGTAGAGATGAGGCTAGGATAGATAGTGGTTGGGATGAACTGGGGAAAGAGGTAGGACTAATCTCTCACACTCTGTGCTATGTCCTTGAAGTCTCAGGGGTTCGACAGAGTGGGGGCTCCCCATTGAGGGAAGAAGGAAGACTAGGATTCTGGCTGAAGGAAATGGACCACCCTGGATGCCTACACCCTTGGTAGATCACCCAATATCCCAGCCCTTTCTCACCCTCCTCTTTGACCATTCTGAGGAATATTCTCTTGGGGCCTGATGATGGATTCCCAAGAAACTGACATTCTAGCACAGTTTTCTGCATTCAAAAGAAAAAACTCAGGCTAGGAGGAGGGAAAAAGCTGGAAAAACAGTTTGAAGCAAGTGCAGAAGAGCTCTTTTAAACATAACAATACCCCAGTGTTACGGTTCAAATTTGTCCCTCAAAATTCATGTGTTGGATGCTTCATCCCCAATGCCACAGTGTTGGGAAGTGGGGCCTAATAAAAGACTTAAACAAGTCTCAAAAGCTTTGCCCTCATGAAGGGATTAAGGTTGTTATTGGGAGAGAAGTTGAATTATCTTGAGAGTGAATTTTTACAAAAGTGAGTTTAGCTCCTTCTTGTTCACTTACTCTTGCCCTCTGTTGCCCTTCCACCTTCCACCATGGGACGACACAACACAAAGACTCTTGCCAGATACTAGTGCCATGCTCTTGGACTTCCCAGCCTTCAAAGCCATGAGCCAGATATAATTCTATTGTTTATAAATTACCCAGTCTGTGGTATTCTGTTATAGCAACACAAAACAGACTAAGAAACCAGGTATAGCAGAAATAAAACCAATGCTATTAAGTTATTAGTAGGTACAGTGCTCTCCCCTTCCCTTCTCTCTCCCTTTTGGCCTTTTAAAGAGAAAAAAATCATTTCTTACTGGATCAGTTCTTAGGTTCCCCTTTATGTGTGCGTTAAAAGGGCAAAGTAGAAAGAAATCTAAAGATCCAAAAAGGCTAAGTTGATTTATATAATAAAGAACAAAGGTGGAAACATGAAGTAAAAGGGAGACAGGAATGTTTTTGGGGCTGAGTGTCAGGGTTTAGGAAAGTAAGAGAGAAGGAGAGATGAGCTGGTCTTTTCCCAGGAGCCACTGCAAAGATTTAGTAAGTGATTTGTGGTGAGAGAGATGAGCTACGATTTTTTAAGATGATTGAGAGACTAAGTAAAACTTTTAATTTCTTTTGACTAAATTGTCTTCCATAATGCAATTTCCTTTTTTTTTTTTTTTTTTTTTTTTAGAGACAAGGTCTTGCTCTGTCACCCAGGCTACAGTGCAGTGGTGTCATAGCTCACTGTAACCTCAAACTCTTGGAACTCCTTGTCTCAAGTTATCCTCCTGCTTTAGCCTCCCAAGTAGCTAGGGCTAATAGCATGTGTCACCACACCCAGCTAATTTTTTTTTTTTTTGAGACAGAGTCCTGCTATGTTGCCCAGGATGGTCTTGAACTCCTGGGCTGAAGCAATTCTCCTGCCTCAGCCTCCCAAAGCACTAGGGTTACAGGCATGAGCCATGGCACCTGGCTGGCAACTTCTTTTACTGCAAATCTGTGCTGAGACTGGACCATGTAGATATCGTGACTTATACAGGTTACACTAACTACCATTAATTAATATTCAATAAGTGCCTCCCAGGTTCCAAGCAATTCAGCAAACATTGACTGCCTATTGCAGTATTATGATTGCATTGATTGCTCCAATTAATGGTCTCCCTGCTTCCACATCCTTTCCATTGTGAATCTGCAGCTTCTTCCCATCATGAAGTAGAGTCTATTTCCCCACCATTTGCACCTAAGATGGGCTGGTTAACTTCATTTGGCAAATAAGACATAGTGGAACTGACAGTGTTCCAGCTCTAAGCTGAGCTCTTAAGAGGCTTTGCAGGCTTCTACTGTCTCTCTTGGGCCTTTGCCTCCATCATGATGACAAGCCCAGGCTGGTCTTCTGGAGGCTGAGAGACCAGGTACATTAGAACCAAGAGACCCCAGCTAACAGCAAGCCAACCTCCAAAAGCAAGGTCATCAACTCAACCTCCATCTGAGCATGGACACACGAGGAAGCCCCACCAGGGGTCGAAGAGCTACCCAGCAGAACCCACCTGAATTGCCAACACTAAGAATCATGAACAAGAAAAAAAAAGTTCATAGCTTCTAAGCCACTAACTTTTGATATGGTTTGTTATGCAGCTACATCTACCTGACACACTTACTAAGTAATCAATGTTTTGAAGACATTATTTTTATTCTTTCAACTGAGGATTTATAATTCTCTTTGTTATATGAGATTTCATGACAAAAAGAAAAAGAAGGACTTGCCTGAGGTCATTCATCTGGTAGATTCCAAAGCCAGATTTGAAAATAGTTCCATTTAATTCAAAATCTATCCTCCTGTGTGCCTCATATCATGCTGCCTAAGATAATGCCAAATTTACCAATAGCCAAGATCATCTGTACGTTTCAGAAGGGCTAAGAGGACAGGTCTGGACACTGCTCCTGAAGCCAGGCTTCCCAGTGTCCAGGCCAGTGAAACAGGACCACAGCCCAGTAGGAAATTGGCATCACAGGAAGGCTGGGGCAGAATATGAGACCTCATAAGAGAGACTCCAGTGTTGAGAACAATGAGAGATGTGAGAATCAGCAGAGTTGGAGTTGCCAAAGCGAGATTTATGGAAGATCAACAAAACCCATTTGATCAAATGGAAAATGAAATTGCCAAGCAGTTTCAATAAGAAGTAAATAGACACTCTCTGAAACCTGCTAAACAGCTTGGCAGGAAATCAGGCTGGCTGTATACACACTTCCTCAGTGTTGCAAGTGGTTCTACACACACACACACACCACACAGGGATATAGGTGAGTGCACGCAGAGACCCGCCTACTTATACTTCATAGGAAGCACATGCATGCAGTCACATCTGTATGTGTACATGCACACACACACACACACACACACACACACACACACACATAAATTACCCAGTCTGTGGTATTCTGTTATAGCAACACAAGAAGGACTAAGAAACCAGGTATAACAGAAATAAAAGAAATTATATTAGGCCGGGCGCAGTGGCTCACACCTGTAATCCCAGCACTTTGGGAGGCCGAGGCAAGCGAATCATCTGAGGTCAGGAGTTCGAGACCAGCCTCACCAACATGGTGAAACCCCGTCTCTACTAAAAATACAAAATACAATCAATTAGCTGGGCATGGTGGCGGGCGCCTGTGATCCCAGCTACTCAGGAGGCTGAGGCAGGAGAATCGCTTGAACCCAGGATGCAGAGGTTGCAGTGAGTCGAGATCATGCCATTGCAATCCAGCCTGGGCAACAAGAGCAAAACTCCATCTCAAAAAAAAAAAGATGTTAAGTTATAAGTAGGTACAGCCTCCTTCCTCTTCTCTTAGGCCTTTGATCCCTACAGCCATAAATGATCACAAAACATGCAACACCCAAACGCACACAGAATACACACAGAGAGACAGGCACACCCACACCCTCTTACACAGGAGCACATGGGCTTTCCATACACATGCAAACATATTCCCTGTGACATGCAGGCACACACATAACCCTCATTGACCAAAGAGGCAGAGGGAGGGACATTTTTCTCTTACTGGGAGCAGGTTTTCTCTTCCAGGGTTGGTCCTCAGAGCTGGAGCACTTCACCTGCACATCCGGCCAAGATGGAGTCTTCCCATTGATCCTTCGATCCCAACAAAAGAGCCCAGCCCTTCCTGGACCTTGGAGCCAGTGCTGACCTTGGCAAGAAGGAGTTTTAAGAGCCTTGGGGTGACTGCTGGGATTAAGTGTGAAGTCCACCTTTTGGGCTTTTTGCACCCTGTTTTGAGAAATTACAACTGTGACCCAGAACAGCAGCTTTGACACCAGGGAGACCAGGGTTCAAATCCTACCTCTGCCACTTCCTAACTGTAGGAACTTGGGGCCACTTACATAAATATGCTGAATTTCAGTGTCCTCAGTTGTAAAATGGAAATGGTAATTCTCACCAAGCAGGGATTTGTATGGATAAAAGGTGATTCTGTGTGTAAGTGCTTGGTTTGGTACCAGGCACGCAATAGGTGTCAGTAATAGGAGAAGAGCGGACATTTTCCAAGCCACATGCTCCATTCATTTACAGTCTTAATCTTGGGTTTTCCTTTTCTTTTTTCTTCCCCCAAGCATAACATAAATCCCGGCTACTTTGCATTTATATTCTATAACTTTTTATGCATCATTTTTTATCCAAAATGATCATTTTTCCATTAGATCTCTTCGTGTAAATGACTCGTACGAACAAGGGCTAATTTCTTCATCTGTCCTTGGGCACCATATATCTGGTTATGATCATGAAAACCATTCAGCAAATCAATTTTAATTATCCCAAATTCTCTTTATAGGCAACATTCCAAGACTCAAAGCTTCCTGAGAAAAGGGGACAAAAAACTACAGCCTGAAAGTCAAAAGCAGACATTGCTCTTAAAGAATCCATATCTAAAAGTGGACCTTGAAACATCAAATTCTGAATGTTTGTTTTCCAACTCAGCCGTTCAACACCACCATCTCTGAACGCCAACTATGTGCTAGACACAGTGATTGGTGTCCAGTTCGCAGAGACATATAGAGTTCAGTACAAAAGCAAAGTACATAAGGAATCAAAAATCAAAATGGTCAGAGAAATGATTTTTAAAATACTAATTTTCTAAAAGGTACATGGCTCCGGCCTATAATCCCAGCACTTTGGGAGGCCAAGGCAGATGGATCACATGAGCTCAGGAGTTCAAGACCAGCCTGAGCAACATGACAAAACCCCATCTCTACAAAAAATACAAAAATTAGCCATGCATGGTGTTGCATGCCTGTAGTCCCAGCTACTTGGGAGGCTGAGGCAGGAGAATTGCTAGAGCCCAGGAGGCAGAGGTTGCAGTGAGCTGAGATCGCACCACTGCACTCCAGCCTGGGCGACAGAGCAAGACTCCGTCTCAAAAAAAAAAAGAAAAAGAAAAAAAGAAAGAAGAAAGAAAGAGAGAGAGAGACAGAGAGAGAGAGAAGGAAGGAAGGAAGGAAGGAAGCAAGGAAGGAAGGAAGGAAGGAAGGAAGGAAGGAAGGAAGGAAGGGAAGGAAGGAAGGAAGGGAAGGAAGGAAGGAGGGAGAGGGAGGGAGGGAAAGAAAGAGAGAGAGAGAGAGAGAAAGAAAGAGAGAAAAAGAAAGGAAGGAAGGAAGGAAAGAGAAAGGGAAGGAGGGAGGGAGGGAAAGAAAGAGAGGAGAGAGAGAGGGAGGGAAGGGAAGGGAGGAAGGGAGGAAGGACGAAAGGAAGGAAGGAAGGAAGGGAGGAAGAAAAGAAAAAGGAGAGGAGAAGAGATGAGAGGAGAGGAGAGGAATTATCTTAGCATGGCTAGAAGATAAAAGGATAAAGCAGCTAGTACTTTGAAGACAAGGACCACCCTCCTCTATATTCCCAGCACCTAACACAGCGCCCAGCACATCAAGGTGCTCAGGAAATGCTTCTGGAATGAATGAGCCATGGATTCACAGAAGCAGAGCCAAAGTCTCATAAGCCATGCTGGCTCTGGCAATACCCAAGGGCAAGGTGGAAACATTAAAGATGTTTTTAATCAGGAAACAGTCATAATTCAGAAATGGTTTTTTTATTGTTCACTTTAAAATTCAACTTTGGCTTCTGAATGAGGAACAGATTGAACATGAGCAGGGCTGGAAGCAGGGATTCCAATCAGGAGACCAACGCCGTCATCCAAGGGAGGAAGGCAATCAGGCCTGAAGCTGGCCCCTGGCAGTGGGGATGGATTCGACAGGTTTTGGTGATTGTTTAGATACGGGTGGAGAGGGGAAGGGAAAAATGCAAGGATGACCCAGAATCACTGTCTTGGGTGGGTGACGGTATCATTCACCGGCAAATGGAACAGGAGAGGAGAAATGGGGCAGAAAAATGAAGAGTTTTGTTTTGGGGGTTTGAGGTCCTGTCAAACAACCAAGATGAGATGCCAAGTACGACTGCAGCTCAAGAGAGTAGTCAGGGAGGATAGCGTTTAGGGATTCATCAGCATTGGCTCAAGGATTCTAAACCTGTGTGGCAGATCCCTCAGCTTGCACACAATATGATGTATGCATGTGCATTTTTTAGGAGCGAAGGCCCAAGTTCTACATCATTTTCTCAATGGATCTATGCCCTCAGAATGGTTAAGAAGCATGGTGAGCCTGGCACAGTGACTCACACCTGTAATCCCAACACTTCGGGAGCCTAAGACCGGCCGATCACCCAATCCCAGGAGTTCAAGACCAGCCTGGGCAACCTAGTGAGACTCTGCCTCTACGAAAAAACAAATACAAAAAGTTAGCCAGGTATGGCATACATCTATAGTCTCAGCTACCTGGGAGGCTGATGTGGGAGGATTGCTTGTGCCTGGGAGGTTGAGGCTGCAGTGAGCCACGATCATGCCACTGCACTCCAGCCTGGGTGACAGAGTGAGACTTTGTCTCAAAAATAAATAAATAAAACAAGCATGGTGTATGAGGCCCTGGGTATCTGTATCAGTCAGAATTCTTCAGGAAAAAAAAAAAAAAAAAAAAAAAAAAAAAAAAAACAGAACCAACAGGAGGTGGGAGAGAGAGAGAGATAAAAACACAAAGCGACAGAAAGAAACTTTAGGAGATTGGCCCACCAAAACCTGCTGGACAAACTGGCAGCCTAGAAATTCGGGTGGGATTTCCATGTTAGAGTCTTGAGGCACAATTGTTTCTTCTCAGGGGAACTTCAGTTTTTGTTCTTAAGGCCCTCAACTGATTGGATGAAGCCAACCACATTATCAAGGGTAGATGCTATATATATATGCGTGTGTGTGTGTGTGTGTATTTAAATTGCTAATCATCGAGATTGTGTATGTGTGTGTATTTTTAAATTACTAATCATCGAGGTTGTGTGTGTGTGTGTGTATTTTTTTTCTTTTTAAGAAATATGGTCTTGCTCTATTGCCCAGGCTAGGGTATGGTGGCACAACCATAGCTCACTGCACCCTCAAACTCCTGGGCCCAAGCTATCCTCCCACCTCAGCCTCCCAAGTAGCTGGGACTACAGGCACACACCACTGCACCCAGCTAAATTACTTTTTTCTTTTGTAGAGATAGGGTCTCGCTTTTTTGCCCATGCTGGTCTCAAGTTCCTGGCTTCAAGCAATCCTTCTGCCTCAGCCTTCAGCACTACACTTGGCCTTTTTAAACAGCAAAAAAAAAAAAAAAAAAAAAAACACAAAAAAAAAAAACACACAAAACACAAAAATGCACAAAATAAAGGTGGCACTTAATAGACCACAATGATAACACTTATTTGCTGATATAAGGAGACAGGACGTCGCCTTGTTCAGCCTCAGACGGGAAGGTGCACGTCACATGACTCACCTTCTTCGCATTTCGGTGCCTGTCCGTGAACAACTGTCAAACTGTGTCGAGTATTGGCCGGGTGCAGTGGCTCACACCTGTAATCCCAGCACTTTAGGAGGCCAAGGCAGGCCAGTTACCTGAGGTCAGGAGTTCGAGAACAGCCATGGCCAACATGGTGAAACCCCTTCTCTACCAAAAACACACACAAAAATTAACGGGCATGGTGGTACATGCCTGTAGTCCCAGGTACTTGGGAGGCTGAGGCAGGAGAATTGCTTGAACCCAGGAGGCAGAGGTTGCAGTGAACTGAGATCGCACCGCTGCACTCCATCCTAGGCAACAGAGTGAGACTCCATCCCCACCCAAAAAAAAAAATATATAGTGTGGCAAGTATTAATTGTCAGATTACAAATAAATTTTAGCAAGTAGGCAAATTTACAAATACAGAACCTGCAAATAATGAAGGTGACTGTTGGTCAGGATAGTCTCAAACACCTGACCTCAATGATTATGGAACAAACAGATTTGAAAATGCATCAGAGCCTCTCCCCTGCCACACCCAATTGATTCAGCCTAATGCAAGCAGAAGATAAGGATGAGGGAGACCGCCCCGAAGCTGCTCGCCACGGGGCTGCATCTGTTCAGAGCCCTGACCCTTCTCCCGGGCCTGTGAGATGATCAGTGCTAGAGAAGGGGCAGAAGCCTGCGATAGTCAGCTTCTCGTGTTGCTTCTTGTTCCCCACTGTAGGGAACACTTCCTACACCTGCAGCCAGCACAGGCCATGGAAGGCAAGCTACAGCTCCGGGGAAATCCGCTCTTTCTCCCACAGGGAAGAGTAAAGGGTGAAGAGAGAGGGAAACACCCCTCCCCAGGATTTTCTGGAGAACACAGGACAAAATTCCTATTTTAAAGGCCCAGATAGAATAGAAGAGAGGAGGACACAATCCTCACCTCCAGGGAAGTCAGTCCCAATGACTGCTCATGGTGGAGACAGCTTTCAGAAAACCAGCGGAGAGGAAAACCCAGGGGCAGACAGCTGCCTTTGATGCTCAGCACTAGCAGACCCGCAGTCCACAATCACCATCTCCAGGGACACGTCTGTTACTTTTTAAATGTTGACGATGACTTTGAATATCACCTTGAAGTGGAGTCATGCGAGGGACAGGGTTCCATCAGGAAGTGCAGGCTTGAGGGAAGACCTCAGAGGCACTGCAAGGTCCTGTAAAAATCAAACACATCACCATCATCCTCATGTCCCTGCCATTACTGGTGGACTTAAACTATATGGAAGCAGTTAATATATGCCTATACGTCACTGACTTTTTTTTTTAATGGAGTCTCACTCTGTCGCCCAGGCTGGAGTTCAGTGGTACAATCTCAGCTCACTGCAACCTCCGCCTCCTGGGCTCAAGTGATTCTCCTTCCTCAGACTCCCAAGTAGATGAGATTACAGGCGTGTGCCACCATGCCCAGCTAATTGTTTTTTTATTTTTTATTTTTTTGTATTTTTAGTAGAAATGAGGTTTCACCAGTTGGCCAGGATAGTCTCAAACTCCTGACCTCAGGTGATCTGCCCGCCTCAGCCTCCCAAAGTGCTGAGATTACAGGTATGAACCATCATGCCCGGCTATATGCCATTGACTTTTAATCCCATGAAAATCCAGGTTTATATTTATGGAGGGTTTGCCAGGTCCCTGATGCTGTACTATGTGTCACAATAGCTCTGTTTTGAAAACAACCACGCCAGCCAGGAACTGTTTATCATTTGCATTCCATCAATAAAGGAACAGAGTCTTGGCCAAATTAAGTAACTTCATAAGCTAGTAGACAACAGAGCAGGGTTTCTTGACTTCAACACTATTGACATTTGGGGCCAGATTATTCTCTGTTGTGAAGGGATGTCCTATGCATCGAAGGATGCTGAAGAGCATCCTCAGCCTCTACCCCCTAGATATGCCAGCAGCAACTCCCTCAAGTTATGACAACTAAAAATGTCTTCACACATGGCCAAATGTCCCCTGGAGGCTGGGGGCCAATTCCAGCTGAGAACCAGTACAATAGGACAATCATTTGAATCCAGGCTGAATCCAAAGCTCACTCCCCTCATTGCTACATGATCCAAACTCCTTGCTGTTAATCCCCAGTCTTCAGCCTGAAACCAGGGCTCAAAAAGGAAGGCAAGTCCCCAACACTGCACAGCTTGTATGGGGTCCAGTGGATGTGAATTCAGTCTGACCCCAAGCTAAGTCCTCTTCCCACCCACCATCTGGCATCTGTTTCAAAGGAGATTCATCCATCAATATCTGTACTAAACCGTGGGCTTGAATTTGGCAGTAATTAGGAAAGGGTCACTCCTATGTCTGAGACCAGACCTGCTCTTCCATTGCTTATCAGGGATTTTTTCCCTAACAGTGGTTGTAAGGAAAGCCCAGGGTCTAAGTTCAAGGAAGACATTCTCCTACTTCCTTCCCACAGGGTGGTAATAGCAAAGGTGTAAATAGCCCTCAGGGAACAGCTATGTGCTCCAACAGATGAAAAACACGTTATAGTTCACAACGGTTGACTTTCTTGAGTGCCTTCCACGTGCCAGGCACCTCTGAATACCATCTCCTCTAATCCTCACAAGTGCCCTGTGAATTGCTTATGCAGGTTTTATAGATGCAGAGGCTGAGATTCCAGAGAGCTAAGGTCCCTCGCCCCAGGTCCATGGCTAGGAAGTGCCCAGGCCTGGATCCAAACTCAGATCTGCTAGTTCTGCAGTACCAGCAGGTTACACTCCACTCTGCAGTCCCCAGCTCATACCAGCTTCCTCCCCTCCATCATTCCCATTTCCTCCTTCAGCCAATTACAGCCAAGTTTCACATCTAGTGATTTTGCAACTATTTTCTTTTCTTGTACAATCACTGGCTTCAACTGCCAATATCTTCCTTTGATGGCAAAAGAGAGGGTGACATGGCCTTCAGAGATTCAAAACTAGACAGAGCAACAGGTTGCAAACCCCAAAGCTTTGCTGGATTTTTAGCCAAAGAACTGGACAGAAGGATATCTGTGGCTTGTCAGATGGCCCTCCTCCCACCGCATGATGGTGGCTGATGAAGGAACATGCTTGACAGTTCAGTTAGCTCTTTAATTACATGGAAAGAAGAGCCTTCAGAAGCCAGTCAATCAGCTGAGGAAGAAAGAGGCACGTCCGGCTTCAAATCAATGGCTGTTCCAGTCTCTTTCATCAAAGGCTTGATGTGTCATTTTCTATTGTCTGCAGTTAATGAGTCAGTTTGATCAGGCATTGCTTCCGTGGCCTCCCTTGGATAAAGGGAGCTTGCTTAACTCTGGGGAATGCTCTCTCCTTGATAACATTTCTCCATGCATTTCTCAGAGCATCTATCACTCTGAGAGTTGCTGTCTACTGAGTATCTGCTATGTGCCGGGCCGTGCATTGAGGACTCAGTATGTCTTAGCTCTTTTGATCTTGATGTCAACTCCAGGAGAGAGGTTCTACTGGCTCCCTGGCCCTGCTCCTTACCAACTGGAAGCCTTTGGGCTTCTCTGTGCCTCTGTTTTCTCATCTGTTTAATGGGGATAATAATAGTTTTGACCTCAAAGAGTTGCAAAACTTTGATGAATTCATGTTTACAAAGTGCTTAGAATAGTGCCTTGCACACAGTACCTGCCGGTAACAGTTTGCTACTTTTTTTTTTTTTTTTTTTTTTTTTT